TGTGTCCCCCAACACTGGAGGGAGTGCTGGTGCCCACATTAGGTGGGGTATCACTTTGGGATGGGAGTGTCTGCAAAGACTCCCCCGCATCCTTGATTAGTAGGTGATTAGCATATATTTGAACACCCATTGAAAGAAATAGGGTTCTGTGACCTTTTCAATATCACCAATCACAGATGCCAAGTGCAGGCAGCCTCACTCCAGAATCCCACAGGAGTAAGTTGAGTGAGAGGAAGCCTGCAGCCTAGCGGAGGGGGGGCCTGCAGCCTAGCAGAGAGGGGGCCTGCAACCACCTGAGGGATGAAGAGGCCCCGGGCATTTTGCTGCAAACTGGGTGAGGTCGAGTGAATAAGGAAGCTGGGCGGGCCTCCCTTGTGTCCTCAGCCCACATCTGATTTATCATCGCCATCCGCCTCCTCCTCAGAAAGCTAGTGAAGCGAGCCAGTGAGGGAGGTGGCACTTCATAAAGGAGAATGGGGAAGGAAAGGCTCCAATATTGATGAGGGAGACCGGAGATTGGGGTCCGGTTGGCCCCAACCCCCTCCAGGACTGAGAAAGCTGCGGGGGGCCAAGGTGGCAGTTCTCTGAAACAACTCGTAAGACATGATGCAAATCTGAGTTGAGAGACTGGCTGGTGAGTGTGACATTGGTAGTACGATTAAGGGGTGTGTCTTAATGTGAAAAATTACACGACGTTGCTTCCTGGCTTTAAGAACAGCTTCAAATATGTGTGGGCTCAGTACCTTACATGGTCCAGCGTTGGGGATGTTCAAAGAGACAGTTTTCCTTTGAAATTTATTCTTTTTGTCAGTGGATGACTTCACCTAAAAATAAGTCCTTTAAAAGAAAAAAAGGACAATCGAACCAGCTCTCCGTGAAAGCATACTGAACAAAGGATTTAACATGCGAGACCTCTGGAGTGGCCATCTGACCCTACTGGCTGGACCCAGGCAGGGGTGGGGAGGCAGGAGGGGGTGTCTTCCTAGGTTTTGGGGCTTCTGGGGATAAAGTGCAACAGTCCCAGGCCAGTGGGCAGTTGGTCCCTTCTGATGTCCAGCGCCAGGCTGCTTGTGGGGCCGAAGTGGTGAGTCCACTTCCTTGCTTTGCAGGCAGGGCCCCTGGAGGGCTGACCTTCCTGGGTAGCGCTATGACAGTGGGCCGGGGGAGGCAATTTGGGGGACAGACCTACTTCCTGGGGCCCTTACATAGCTCTGTTTGCATTTTCTGTTGCTGTCACGTTTCACTTTGCCCATGATCATTTTGTTAAGTAAGCACCATTGCTTTTTTTTTTTAAGATTTATACATTTAATGCATATAAGAACTGGGGTACAGGCCAGAGGCGCAGGGGGTGAGAGGATTCACCAGAGACAGAGTGGGGGCAGAACAGGTGGATCCACTGAAACACACTCCTGAGGGGAGCAGTGGGCGAGACAGGAGAGGGCTGCTGCACCGTGTGGGTCAGCTTCCCGGCCGGGAATTGAATCCATGCTGCAGTGGCTGCAGACAGCTTCATAGTGCTGAGACTTAACCCCTTGCACCATCAGGGAGGACCAGCACCATTGCTTTTTATCCCTAAAACTGTCTCCATGCCTGCCCCCCCACCTCCCATGCACATGCACACACCCCCTAGCCCACAACATTTATCCCCAGACATCAGGGAATATCTTTCCGGCCACTTCCTTCCCCGCAGTCCCAGTGCTGTGTTTGATTTGGCCTCCACACTCAGCACAGGGCCAGGGCTCCCCTCGCCTTGCTATTCCTGTTGCGCCCACCTTCCGTTATTCCGGCCTGTGTGGGTGTGTGTACTGGGCCCAAGCGTCAACACTGGCCCTCAGCAACCACGAAATGTGTTCTCAGTGTGATATAACCTGTGTTGGGAAAACACGGTCTCCCCTGAGCCCAGGCACAAAAGAGGGTGGTTTTGAAAAGCAGCCTTGGGCCTCCCTGGTGGTGCTAGGGGTTAGGCACAGCACTGTGAACTATCTGCAGCCTCTGCAGCACGAGTTCGATCCCCGGCCGGCCAGGGAGCTACCCACAGAGCACAGTAGACCTCACCTATCTCGCCCGCTGCTCCCCTCAGCAGTGTATTTCAGTAGATCTGCCTGTTCTGCTCCCCACTCTGTCTCTGGTGAATCCTGCCCCCCCCACACCCCTGGCCTGTACCCCAGTTCTTATATGCATAAATAAATAAATCTCTTTTTTAAAAAAAAGAAAAGAAAAGCAGCCTCAAAGCCACAAGACTTGTGCCAACAGTTTTCTTAATACAGCGCACCTAAGCCATGCATGGTCGTCAGCCTTAAGTGTGTGCAGCCCGTCGTGTGACCTAGCAAGGTGTTTCTCTCCTTAGAACACTGCACTTTCCTAATGATAACTCAGCCCTCCCTCCCCCTTGCAGTTAAAGGATATGTAACTTTCCCCCCTAGTCCAAAAGTTTGCAAAATCAAGATCAGAAATAAGCAGTAGAAATGCCTGGCCTTGACACTAATATTGTAAAGGATGGTTTTTGAGGTCAGGTGGATGGTTTCCCAGCTCAGATGATTACTCAGTCAAGAGAGATGAACTTGGGTAAAGAACTTGTAGGTCCTGAGGGCGATGGGGAGTCAGGGTCCCACTCGTATCCACTTGACTTTCGTGAGGAGGTACTTTCAAAGGCTGGTTCCCAAGGCACACGGGTGACGGGTCACGAGGGGGCAGCAATGGCTTCTAGAGCAGATGTTGCTTGCTGGGGACTCGCTGCACAAGGACAGGGCAGCTCGCCCAAAGCATTCTCCCTAAGCATTTGGTGGCTTATTATAAGCAGGATTTGACACTTTTCTCTTGTATCAGAGAGAGGGCTGTATTCCTTAGAGAATGTTGACGTTTTCTGGCAGAAACTGATTTCTGTCTGTATCCCATGATCAGCTTTTGAGTGTTTGAGTTATTTCTGGAAGTCTGACCCCCAAGAATGAGGAGAGGAGACAGAAGGACCTCAGACACCTGTGCATCAAAATCAGAGTTGCTGGTTACCATGGTTTGGAAGTAGTTAAAAAGACCAATGAGTTAGTCTGAGTTACAAGGACTTTGCCACTTACTGAGGGTGTGACCTTGGCTAAGTCACTCAGTGTCTCCAGCCTGCTTCCTAGCTGTAAAGGCCTGGTAAAAAGATAATGGTAAAACATCAGAAGTAGCAAAGGTTTGACTGAATAAAACATACTGGGTGCTTAGCATGATACTAAATAAGATCTTCTGATGCCTATTATTTCTATTCCTTATAATGTATAGTAAGCATCATCAGTTAACTACAACTGTAATAATTGCTTTTTTGTGACTGCCCTATAAGACCTTCCCTTGGATAATTCAGACCTTGAAGATGGATACATTGGACCCAGGCGAGGTCATTTGCTAGCTGGTTCTTTAAGGGCTGGGCCTTATTTGAAAAAGCTGGTGTTTTCCTGTAGCCTGGCCACTAAGTCTAGGCCAAGAAACATTTTCACAAGTAAATTTTCCATATAATGATCCCTTCACTGGAGGACATATTTCTGATGATTGTTAGCCCATGATTTGGGCCCAAAGACCTGCATTTCAATAAAGACAGGCTTGCTATTAATGATAGAAGGTAGGCTTAGGTGGCTTTTAATGGACAGCTCTCTAATTGAGTGGTATTAAGCTGCTTTTCTCTAATTAGCATCAAGTACATGGCAGCACTTGACATGGTGTTGGGGGTGGGGAGGCTGCAGGAACAACCTGGACACAAGGGGGTGTATTTTGCTGTCTGTTGTTGTGTGATCCATTCTACACTAAAATGGGGGTCCCCAGGCTATGATCTGAGTATGCCAAATACTCCCCTTCACCCAAACAGATGTGGCCACACCACTGAAGATGCTGGGAACTCTCAGCAGCCCAATGACTGAATCTTACCATGACATTCTCTCTCCACGGTCTCTCTTGAAATTTCTTTTGCCATGAAAAGATAATCTAAGAGAAGGAGAACCTTACACCTTGCAGCAAATTGCTGAGTGATCGACTCCCTGATCAGGAGGCATGAACAGTTGGCATTAGGACAGGGCTGTTTTGATAATAAAGAGAACAAAACCAGTTACAGGATTTACAGGTCCTGCCCAGACAGGGTCTTTTTAAATTGGGAGGAACTGGGCTGAGCTGGGCTGGGCTGGGCTGGGCGTGGAGGGCGCTTTGAGTTTCCTTTACTGACAGCCCTCTTCCCAACTGTGCCTGGACCAACCCCATTTATACCCAGGAAATAATCCCAAAGGTGTGCATGTAATACGTGTGCATGTGCATTTCAAAGCAGTGTAGACCTGTGGCGAAGATTGCCAACTCCTGAGCTAGACTGTAGCGTGCCCCAGTTCATCAGCCACCTCTTCCTGTACCTCAGATAAACTATTAAACTCTTTGTGCTTCACTTTTCTTATGTTAAAAAGATGAGCTGGCCCATAGGGAGGGTTGTTGAGAGAATTACAAGAGCTACCCAGAGACAGTATTTGACACATAAAAAACAGCTGTTACTGTTATCAGACTCTGTTGAGACTGGGCTGCAGAGATTGTGGTCTACAGGCAACCTCGCTGCCATCTCAGTGCCTGACTCTGCTCCACGTAGACATCCAGGAATCCAGCTGCCTTGGAAATCCCCGTTCTGCCCTATTCTAGGGCCCCTGAGTTCTTCACTGATTTTCAGCAGCCACCCCACAGATGGGATGAGAGTGTGTTTGCTCAGGAGTTCCTAGTACCAGGCCTTCTCCCCATCCCCACATCTTTCAGCTTCCACCGACTCTATTCTTCTCCATTGTGATTTTATTTCACACTCATTATTTCTCACATCCCATTGGCCAGAACTGGTCGCGGGCCGTACCTAAATGCAGAGGACACTGGGAAATGTAGTAAACTGTCCCAGGAAGCCGAAGAGACAGATGTTGGCCAAACCATGGATATCCAGTAGCAACTCAATGATTTTTTTTTATCATTTTTATAAAAGATTTATTTATTTATTTATACAAGAGCTGGGGTAAAGGCCAGATGCACGGGAGGGTGAGAGGATTCACCAGAGACAGAGCGGGGAGCAGAACAGGCAGACTGACGAAATACACTGCTGAGGGGAGCAGTAGGCAAGACAGGAGAGGTCTGCCGCACCATGTGGGACCCTCACTGGCCGGCCAGGATCGAATCGATGCTTCAGAGGCTGCAGACAGCTACACAGCGCAACACTCATCCACCTGCGCCACCAGGGGAGGCCCAGCAACTTGATGATTTTGACTTTGGTTTATCGTTTCCCTATGAAGCATAAGAATTTTTAGAGGTTAACGTTAAGAATTCTAATGGGAAAATCCATTCCCTTATTTGGCAGGCAGTACTCAAATTCTGAATAAGAGGACAATGAAAGATAGTATCTACTGAGCATTTACCATATGCCAAAAGTCGAGGCACTTTATGTGGTTCCTTCATCAAGATGAAGTTAAATAAGATGAAATACATTTGTTCCGCCACAGTTTTTATGGGCAGATATCATAATTGTCAGCACTGAATGAAGAAAATAAATTGCAGGGAAGCTCTTAATCCAAACAAAAAAATACGAATTGCTGTAGAATCATAGACAGGATTGTCAAAGTTGCTACGTGTTCTTTCGCGCTATCCCTTAAACCCGTAACCTTACAAAATTTGATCGAGAACAAACTCTGTTTTTCACATCGGAAGGCCAAATTCAGAAATGCAACAGCAGAGACTTACTCCAAGATAGGGCATCCACTCTACCTGAGACACACTCATTAGCTTGTCATGAGGTGGGTGCTTTGTCAAGAAAACCAAATCCACATGTGCATGGAAAAACACTCATCAGTGTGTACTTTATCTCTGGGTTTACTTTAATTTATTTGCTCAGCTAGACATGCGGTGTTTATTATCAGGTTAACCATGCATGGGTTTCATTCACCTGGAAAAGTGGCTGTAGTGTCTTAATGTCTGATAGCTTTTAAGCCAGTGCTTGAAAAATCAGGTAGATCCCTGACTTGTACTGGATGTCTAGTTAATATTTTAATCACAGGGCTTAAATCACCCGATGTCTCTGTCATGTGCGCGCTCATCTTTTTCATACAGCTTCATGAAGAACAGAGATAACAGCCTCCATCCCGTGGCCCCCCGTAAGTGGACAGCATAAAGCTTAATCTTGGAACTAGGCACGTATTTTCTGAAGCGATTCTGCATGACTAGTTAAAATGCATCAACTCATTACCATCTTTATCAATTCCATAGACTTCGAGTCCGTCTATGGAACTAAGATAGGTTTGTGAAAGCACTGCAGAACGGAGGCTTAAGCAGATGTCAGATGGAAGCAACAGATGTGTCTTCGTACAAAGGTTTGGCTAGGCCGGCCCCGCAATAGCTGAGCAGCTAGAATTTCTCTGCGCCGGCGTATCTGTTTAAATGCCTTTGGCCGAGCCACGAGACAACTGGGTGTTTGCCAAATCGTTGGTGTCCTCATCTGCCTTTTGAAAAGTATGACTGTCGAACAAGGAAACACCTACTCCCAAATATCTGACTCTGCGGTCGCGGCTTCTTTCTTTCTCATGCTGCCTTGTTCTGGTTTTATAAAAACAGAGGGAGAAATCAAGCTAGCTGTTCCATCTGTCCTTTACTGACAAGGGCTAACCCCCGGCCTTTCTCCTCGTCTTCACACAAAGTATTTTCCACGGTGCAGAGTTATGATATTCTTCATTGCATTTGCTCTTCAAAGGCACTGAGTTCAGAAAGAGACAGTGTCACCCCACCAGGGCGGGGACAAGAAACAGGGCACTGAGGCGAGTCTGACAGGCCGAGCTCCTGCCGGGGCCAGGCAGAAAACAGAAGTCTCGGGGCCGGTTCCTGGACGGCAGCGTGTCATTTAGCAGGGAATCTGGACTTGGGACCTCGTCTTTGGGAGCCAGAGAGGCTTTGATAACGTGCCGGCAGCCAGGAGGTTGGCAGCCCCTTGGATCTCACGAACAGTAGGGTCTTCATTGCACCCACTACCTTACATTGTTTGGAAATGACTGCTAACTTTCATGACGAATAATCCAACCTGGTTATTCTCATTCTGTAAGCTAGTACTGAGGTGCTGCCTGGTGCTGTGGCACCTTAGGGGCTGTGTTTGAGAATCCGTGGCTCTGGGCACATACTCTCATTCCTTACCCAACTCAGTTGTCGTTCAATTTGAATACGAAAACGAAACCACCTTATTGTATCTGGACCCTTGGACAAATCCCTGCCATTATCACCCCCCAGGCCGTGATCCAATTCTGCTTTTGATTTCTAAACAAAAGGTTGTTAACAGCAGACAAACTATTTCTAGGCCTTTTCTAATTCTTTTTTTCCCCTCCCTCAAGAAGAAACCTCAGGGAGGGGGAGGAGATTGCCATCATTTATTAACTTTTTCTATTCATATGTTATCAGAACCCTCCCCTCCCGCACCCCCGCCCCACCCGGTGCGCGCGCACACACACACACACACACACACACACACACACACTTCAAGGAAGGAAGGTCCTGCTGGAAACAGATCGTTTCAGCCTTGGTATTTGTGGAGACAAAATGTAGTGGAGATAGTTTTTTCTTCCATGATGGCTGTCTGAAAACCCTTCAGACCCGCTTCGTCAGTGTGAGATATTCTTGCTTCCACCTACTCCTTCAGTGGGATCCTGTCTGGGGCCTGTTTATCTGGGCAACCACAGGAAGAAAGGCAATTTTAAATGTGGAAATGACTTCTTCTGTGTCAGAGACTGTGAACTTGAAGTCATTTGTTAGTTTTGCTCGCCCGTTAGAGCATTCTCTCAAAGTCCATACGATGATTGCTTCCTTGCCCTGCCTATTGTAAATTGTTCCCACCATGGGTGGCCCGTTTCACAGAGATCTGTCTTCTCTTTTTAAATTATTTTTATTTTTTATGTGACTGTGATTTCTGATATTTTGGGAGTTAGACCCGCTAACGGTTAAATGAATCACAGTTCAGCACACTGAGGATCAATACGATAAAGGAGCGTGTTATTTTCTTACACGACAGCTGTGAGCTAGTGTGGAATATCAGGGTTCTGACTGCCCCGCCCACCATCGACAGTAACCCCTCAAGTTCATATTTTGCCCTTTGCAGTACATGTGATCATTATCAGATATATACTTGAAAGTTGGGTTTTATTTCATGTTGTAAAATTTCATCATGATACACTTAATAGCACCACCAAGTCCAGATAAACTCAGATACAATGTTCATGGTAGTTAATGCCAGATGCTTGGGGCACAAAATAAGGCAGACGTGGTTTTCCTGTATTTCTCAGATTTGAAGATCTCAGGAAATTTCTGTTGTTGATGGGCTGAGATTTTATTATTGCGGTTAGCATCACTGCTGGAAGCATGCTGTGCACGCGGAAAATGGAGGTTGCTACCTGTTTACATACAGTCAGAGGATTACCTGACAGAGCTTATTCGGTATCGAGCAGATGGGTGCTTTGTAGGGTCTTATGTGATTCTGCTGCTGTGCTATTTCTGAAGTGTGAAATATTCCCTCTGTTCAGATGGCTGGAAAAACAACCGCTCCAAGCGTTGTCACAGGCAGTTCTGTCCAACACAAATGTAATAGGAACTATGTATGTCACTGAAAATTTGCTAGTATCCCCCATTTAAAAAGTGAAAATAAACGGGTGAAGACAGTTTGGGTACTATATTTTATTTAACCTACTAGATCCAAAACACTAGCATTTCAACATGGAATCAAAGTAAAATTATCAAAGAGCTATTTGTTCTTTTTTTGCTACTGTCTTTGAAACCCAGTATGCATTGTACACACTTGCAGGTCAGTTCAGCTGGCCACATTTCAAATGCTGGTGGCCAGTGGTGGCTGCATCAGACGTGTTTTTGAGAAAGGTCTAGCTTCGGATAGGAGAAGAAAGCGATCATGCGAAATGTCATTTCATTTGAAGAAAAAATGTTAGTTCTTGAAAAGGAAGATGTTGGCAGGGCAGTTATTTCTGAACTGTTTGCTTGTACTGGTCAAATACTGTTCAGTGGCAGAACTGACTTGTTATGGAAAAAAACATGTACATGCTGATTTAATGTTAGTTATTTCCTAAAGGAAATTAAAAATCAACATTCTAGAGCCTTAATGTAAAGGATTCCTTTCTTCATTCCCTTATCTGGGTCTGCCGTTGTCATGGTCACAGCAGTGCCATACAGCAGAAGTTGAAGACTCCAGTTAGAGTCACCTGCTTTCTTTGGTTATCATAGAACTTTTCAACTAATGAATATTTTCACTGTATTGGACTCCCCCCCACCCCGAAAATGTGGTAGTGTAGCGTAATGAATGCTTAACTTTTTATTTAGTAGGGTCGGTGCAAAAACAGTGCATTCATACCATTCCCAGTGCTTGGAAGCCCTCACTCACAGCAAATCTAAGTTGTAATTACCAGAAGCAATTAGCGTTAACTCCTAACCAGAACCTGTCACTGACTCTTGATGTGGCATTTTCCTCTCTTGGTGCTTCCTGGGGACTATGGGCTATTTTCTGGCATTGCGTTTTCAGAGTAAAAGAGCTGTGACTGTAATCCTAAGTGAGGTGCTGGCATGCTTGGTCTGTGTGGCCGAGTAGAAAAGTGGATGCCAACCGGGTGGGTCCCATTCTAAAGAAGCTGTGACTTTTGGGTGTATTGCTAGCGCTTAGAATTGGAGATTTTGCTGGGTTATTGCCTTCCACAGGTTAGTAACAGAGGCATGTGTTCAGAATTAACTTGGAATGTCTCTACAAATACAAATTATATCATCCTTTGATGTTGGGCTCTCAGCAAGATTTAGCATGTTTTTGAAGTTTAATAACTTGGGCTTTTGTATATAAGAAATTGACAGACTGTCTTCTTAACCAGCCTTTAGCTAGCTCTATTCCCCGCTCGGCCTTGACCTTGGCCTTCAGTATCTGACCTGCCTTTCCCAAGAATCCTACTAATTCAGTTTAGAGACCACTCCCCACCCTTGATGTCTAACCACTCCTGATACCTGATGGAGTTCTTCCTCTCCCACTCTTGAAGTCCGAGTCTGCCTTTGATCCACCCTGCCCTTGATGTCACCTCTTCGTAATTGCACAACCTTAACCCCATCACTCCATGATAAATGTCCACTGGTCCTCGCTGTATTCAGAGTTGAGCTTGATTTCTCTTGCTCCCCATTGTGATCCTGCCATCTCCCGGTTGCTGTAGTCCGAGTAAAGTCTCCTAGTTTCATTTATAGTAAGAGGACCTTTTCTCTTCGAAAACAAGAAGTCTGTCATGAAATAGTCTGAGCATAACAAGTTTCTTCTATGGCTAATCCTGTTACTAAACAGATCTTCATTCCTTGATGAATTGCTAATTTTGTACTCATTGCAAGAGGCGAAAATTTTCCAGGGAGATTCAAGGTCTTTCTGTAGACAGTATCTCCTGGTTGTGTTCTAGAACATGATGATCAGGCCCATTTCTATTGTCATCCAATTAAATTCTAAAACCAAGGGCCTCCCCTGGTGACGCAGCGCTTGAGCGCTGGGTTGCGAGGCTGCCCACAGCCTCTGCAGCACCAGTTCGATCCCCGGCCACCGGCGAGGGTCCCCCCCCCAAAATAAATAAATAAATAAATTCTAAAACCAAGTGGGTCCCCTTGACTATTTCTGTGCAGATAAATATAATGGATATTGGAGTCAGAAGAAAATGGGTCGGACAGTGTCTGATGAATGCAAATGTGTAGTTGATTAAGAAATGTCTTCAGGAATATCTACGTATCCAAGGGGCTCTGTGTTTCCGTTCATTCCCTGGTGTTCTTCTTATTGTCTTCTCTCCGTTTCACTCATTTCCACTTGTGTTCAAGATCTTCCATCACTTTCTACCATCATGTTCTGGCATCACACAGAGAAACCTGTCCCACCCCTGGCATCAGGCAGAGCCGACTGCCTGAAACATTTCACGCAGCCTTCCAGGAGGCGCGCAGGCGCCAAACACAGTCTGCAAGCTTTGATTCATCCCTGCCACCCCACAGCGTCCAATCCTACACTCATGCACGGTACATCCTTTCCATCTGTCTATTTGGCAAAAACAACAGATAAATGAGAAGCTATGTGTAAAAGAATTGAAGTGTTTGATCCAGTGTAAGGTTTGAATTTAGAAAATACCAGGCCACAGAATTATCAAAGCAGATTTATATTGTTTTTTCAATTTAAAAAATGTACCCAACAGAAACTCATGGCAAAACATGTAGGAAAGCAAAGGCTGCGGAATCAGATCAAGCTTCACCCAGCCTGTGGCCCTTCTTTTCTCCAATCCCAAGTGAATGTTTTTCTTTTCCTGGTGGAGAGTTTGTTTTGCCATCGGGCTGCATCCTGGCCAAGCTCATGGCTTGTCGTGTTGACTGCCCTGCGTCTTGGTTGGGTGAATTTTTGAGATGCTTTTCTTGGGGCCAGACCAGCCTGTTACAGAGGCTCCACTGAGAAGCAGCCAGGTGGACTTGACATTCGTGTTCTAAGAAAGACGGCCCCAGGGCCGGGACCTGGTGAGTAGATCGATGCCCAAAGAGGAGCCTCTTGTGACAGAACAGCTCCAGAGAAGGCGTCATCAGCAAGATCTCATTAGCTAGTTGTGACGGTCCTCGCATCTGAATTTGACAGTTTCCAAGCCAAACCTTCCCCCCTCTGTCGTGTGGGGTCCTGTTCCTTCTTGGGCTCAGAATCACTCTCTGGTGCTAAGTCAGATCGTTGGCAGTGAAAGCGTCATGAGAAAAAAACCCACGGTGCTGCTGTGGGAGGGTTGGAAGAAACGAGGCTTAGACACACTGGAAGCAGCTCCTGCTCTTTCCAGCTCGGCTCGGCCAGCCCTCTGACTTTCGTGGATAAGGAAACTGAGGTCCGGGAGGGGAGGGGGTCACCTATCGATGGCAACACACAGATGTGGCCGATCCAGCAGCAAAGTGTTGTCTCCTAAGAAAACCACCTCCTGCTTCAATCGTCGCCAAGCAACAGAGTAAAATGTGTTTAGCTTGGGATAAGAAAAAGGAATGTTCTGTCCACATCAGAATCACATCTTGGATGGTCTTTGTAGGTTGTCTGGAGTAGTGTTTCCCCAGCTCATCCTCAGGCCTGTGGCAGTGGATTGGCCAGACGTCCCGTCAGCTGCATGAATGGGACTGTCTAGTGACTGGCACGCCAGACACAGGAAGATATAAGGGCCAGAACTCAGAGCTGGCCCTTTGTAACAGTGGCCCCACCTTGGACGCACTGGCCAGAGCCCTTGATCTTTATTTTAAGAGCCTCCGCGCGCCTGGATGCCCCAGACCTCGTGTGAAGCTGGCCCATGGCCTGGCCCATGGTGTCCTCTTTGCAGGGGCTGTCCGTGTGCTCAGAACACTCTGGTCATTATTTATAGCGCCCTGTGTGCGGTCGACATTCCTTTTTCTGCTTGTGTGAAAATGGCCAGGCTGTGGCTGTTGTCCTGTAAGTAGAGAAGGCGCCATGGTAGGAGCAAATGAATATGTTGTCATCTGAAGAACTGACTTAGGGGCTAGAGAGACAGACCTGGCCCATGTCTAGGGAAATGTAGGAACCTTGGATCCCCTAGAAGTCCTAGGGGCTCGGGATCCTGTGGAAAAGCAAGATTGTCCATGTTTTATGAGGAGCTGTGGGGGGGAAGTACCTGCTGATACAGCTTGGACTACAGGTGACAAGCGGGACCAGCAGTGAGCAGCATCGAGGCCGTGTCTGTGTTCTTGTGACGCACACATGCTTGCCCCCTATGCACTGAGGTGGACACCCACAGTGGGCTTCAGCCCAGAGACCTATTGACTAGTGAGTTACAGAGAGGGGGGTCCCTCTGCTGACAACTGTGGGTGTCCCCTTCTAAGTCCTACATTGTGTTATGATCCAGAAGATTTGTGACCTCCCGAGCCCATCAGTCCAATGGTCCTGCTGTGACCCAGTAGCTGCCATTCAGTGGAGAATATTGAATATGAAACAGAAAAGTTGCACTTTCTAGAAAGTTCCCTTATTTTTCTAGGAAGCCACAGACCTAGAATATTGAGCACAGTCTGTAGAATTACAGAATTTCTGGAAGGGGGGCAAGTGAAATCTCTTGTCAGAGATAAGATGCAGGTGTATAAGAACATACCTCAAAGGTTCGAACTCTTCAGACTAGAAAGACTGGAAAGTGTCTATTAAGTGTCCCAATTCCATTTCTAAGTATGGGTAGATTAAAAATGACCTTGTTTTATAAATATTGTCATTCTGGAGTTAGAAGCCCCTGGACCCCCCCTTGGGAAATTTGAAAGAAGTCAAATTTTACTTAGAGAGGGGAGGAATAAAGGAAGGAGAGGATTAATGGATGGGGTGTCTGCTCGCGGTCTTCATGACCCCAGGAGGGCCTGTGAGTTGACAGTGTGAGGTGGTCTGGCAAATTCTCAGAGTCAAAGCATATCCTTGAACCTGGGTCAAGGAATACCATAAAATACACCGTGGGGTGAAAAGGGAGACCTGACCCCTAAATCACATATAATGTTGTAAACCATTGGTACCTCAAAAAGAGGAAAAAACTATAACTTGAGAAGACTGAAAAACATTTTGTTATCTATTTGCAGAGTATAACCCATGTATCCCCATGCATAGTAAATGCAAGAAGAATGTCACTGAATACTAAAAAAGGGGGTGTGACTGTGTCTATCCACATGGGGATGTGTCCATTTGTGGTTTTAGAAGCTGGGCTAGCACCTTGACCAACCACACGCAAACATATAGATAGTAACTTAGAAGCCGTATATGGATGAAGTAAAGGCCGTGCAGGGACTGGCAGTTGTCCTTGAAACGGTGCTGAGTGACCGATTCTGGTGCCCCAAGGACCTCAGCACTGAGCTGCTGCGTGAAGGGTGACTGGACAGTCGGAGGGAAGATGGTCTGCCCAGGGACTGGGATGGTATGAAGACTGTCAGCATGGGGAGGAGATCAAGGTCAACCCCATGTTCATATGTGTGTGTGTGTGTTGTGTGCACGCGCACATGTAAACACCTGTGTATTGGTGTGTGGTGTATGGTTTTTGTGTGGTGCGCTGTGCATTCGTGTGCATGTGTATGTGTGTGTCTGGTGTGTGGTATGTTTGTATACACATGTATGTGCACTGTGTGTGCATGTCTATGTGTGTGGGTGTGTGTCTGTGTGGGTGTGTCCATGCGTGTATCTGTGTGTGTGTGCATGTATGTGCATGGCGAGAGGCTCTGAAAGTCCCCTAAGCATCATGAGGGATACTGTCTAACAGTCCAGGGGCTGGGGAGGGAGGCGGCCTGGCTCTGACGTGGCAGAGCCTTTGGAGAACGTGGTCCTAATCAGAAACACTGGCCCGAAAGTCGGCTACTCAGGTGACTTGCATCTCCGTACAAGTGACTTTTGGGTTGGGGTTTTAATTTGAGAAAACAGTCATCTTTAAAGAAAAATGTTTTTCCTTGGTAGTTTCTGAACTTTTTGGGATTTTTTCTATTTGGCTTATTTTTTAAAAGGCAGATGCTCTTAATAGAAAAACAGCTTTTGGGATCAAATGATGAAAAGAATCTAATCAAGACTTTTATATAGGGAAGTATACAGGAGGAGAGGCGGGGTGGCCTCTGATGGCACCCCAGAATGTACTGGAGAAATCTAGATTTTCTATTTTCCAACTTGAAAAATGAGCTTCTAGTGAGCCACAGTGGTGCCGGGAGCTTTCCTCTTGGTCTTCACTTCAAAGACCATGAATAGAAAGAAGAATTGAATCTGTCTAGTATCAATTACAGATGCCATGAGAAATCCAATGGCTTGGTGTTCCCGCCCTGGGCCTTGTTGCCTTGCAATGTGATTGGTTTGCTTGGAGAAGGGGTAACCACCATCAAGAATTTATGGGTTGGGTCTCCCTGGTGGCGCAAGGGGTAAGTCTCAGCACTGTGAAGCTGTCCCCAGCCACTGCAGCACGAGTTCCATCCCAGGCCAGGGGATCCCCCATGACGCAGCAGACCTCTCCTGTCTCCCCGCTCACTGCTCCCCTCAGCAGTGTATTTCATCAGTCTGCCTGTTCTGCTCCCCACTCTGTCTCTGGTAAATCCTCTCACCCCTCACACCTCTGGCCTTCACTGCAGCTCTTATATGCATAAATACATAAAAATAAATCTTAAAAAAAATTGAGGGTCTGCACTACATTAAGTTCACCTATTTATATGATATTCTAATGCAGTGTCACTTCAATAAAAAAAAATTTTTTTAAGAAAATTTAAACAAAGAAAAATTTGTTTAGCAGAAAACAGGCCTTTAATGGGAAGTGGTGAGATCCCCTTAGGGTCCAGCCCGGGGGCTCCAGGGACAGGCGTTCCCTCGGAGCAGCGATGTGCTCAAGTGTTAGCTCGCTGGAAGGTCAGTCTCGATATTCTTTTATTGTTGTGGTATCACACAAGGTTAATT